TAAAAGGGAAAGAAGGTAACATCTCAAAATCAAAAAAGCACTAAAGCTTAGGGGAGGTGTAAAAAAGGACAAAGAGAAGAACATTTGCCACTGTTATGGCAAACCTGGGCATTGAAGGTCTACTATGGGCAAGGAAAAGACACTTATTGAAGTTTCTAATTCAAATACCATTTGTTAGAATATTTTATTTTATATTATAAAGGTATATGATACTTTATGTTGGTTCTAATATGTATGACATATTGTAAAGACTAAAGACAAAAATTAGTAGGATCTTATTTGAGGAGGTGACCACATTGATTGACTACATGGAGCATTGTATGATGGTTGTGCTCTTATTTAAAGTCACATAACTAGTCTTGGACTTGTTCCCCTCAATAATGCACATTGGTTAATATCTTTAGTGTAAATCCTCTCTCATGAACCAATAACCTTCCCCCTTGATAATTCGTTGGCAAATCCGCCAAAAAGTTGTCAACGAAATTGTTAGCTTACCAACTATTTTTTTTCATCAACAAAATATTTCGCCACTGACAAAATATAATATCGCCATCAATTACTTCTACGATTGATTTAATAACGGAATTTTTCGTTTGAAATCTGTAGGTAATGCACAATACCAATCGAATTTCGACCATTATCGACTAATATTTCATCAATAAAATCAACAATTCTTATAGTGTTTCACATTTATGCCAAACATTACAATTTTATCTTTCTAAAAAATATAACACCCAATAATTATATAACATTGAAATCTTGGAATGGTAAAACGCAAAACCCAACCTTAATGTTATTGTTATCAAGCAAGACTTAGATAAGATTTATTTGGTCAAGTTCCTTAGTTTGTTTAAAACAATAATTAAATAAAAGCGTAAATTGAAAACCCAAACTACTAAATTGAAAGGCTTCATTAGTTAAATTAAGCGTACAAAATTTGAAATATTTGAATAATTTTTAATATTTTATTTAAATTGATAATTTTATTAAAAATCAATTAATTTTTAGCGTTTATTAAGTAGTGATAAAATTTTCTACAGAAACCATATTTTCATTTAACTTTTTACATATTATTAATTTTCTCATTAAATTCTATCAATCTATTGCTTTTGATTATCAAACTTAATTTTCATTTAATCGTATATACTGACTTAAAAAATTTTGTTTAAGTTTGTAAAAACTTTGAATTCAAATCATACTAGATAACTTTATATTTTTCAAGTGTAACCATATATGATATTGGATTTGAGTATTTAATTTAACAATAAATATATGTATTTTTTTATTTAAAGAGTCAATTGAGAGATCATCTTTGGGTAAATTTATATTTGATAAAAAGAATATCTATTTAAAAAGAAAAAGGAAAAGCAAACGTATTCTAAATTTTGCCCCACAAAATCGAATATAATAGCATTAGCCAAATTTGTTCTCCCTAAATATGGAAGACAAGGAAAAGAAACAACGTCCGCAGCATAAAGGAAGCAGATGCATGCATGGTTTTCCCGAGTCCGCACAGGGTGTTGAACCCGTGTATTACGTTGATGCCATTCCATTCTTGTCCAATTCAGCATTATATAAATCTCTCCACTCCCTCCGCAGTTGTGGGGTTTCTCTATTATAAATCCTAGAGAACAATTGCATTCTCGGCATACTAATTTCTTCTTGTTCTCACGCCCGTAACACCTCGAAGAAATCTAACTCCAACCAAATAATAAACAAAAAAAATGGCACGCCAAATCCTTGTTCTTGCATTGGTCTTTATTGCCCTTGTTGGGTTGGTTTCGGCTGGTCAAGCCTCCTCCGACAGCAAGGGAGGGGCCGAGGCTGCCGCACCTGTCAATGATGATACCATTGGCAACACTGATGAAGCAAGCGCACCAACTACTGGTGGTGATGAGGCTGCTGCTGCTGTCGAAGGCCCTGTTGGCAGTGAGGATGCTGCGAAAAATGCTGCTGCTGCTCTGCCTCCTAGCAGTGGTGCAACCACACTTGGGGTCTCTGCTGTCGCTGGAGCTGTTGCCATTGCTGGCTACTTGGTCTTCTAAATTAGTTTTGCTTAATGCTACAACTTTTCTAGTTTTGGTCTGAGAAAAGCTGTCTTATTATTATTCGGTCGTTTAGTTTACATTGTTTGTACTGTAATTTGCGATTTGCACAAGGCTGGTTGAATTTGTTTTGAATAAAGGAATGCATTTTAAGCAGAATTTTTGCATATTCGTTGCTTGTGTCCATTTGTTCGTTCAAATCTTTTGTCTTCCATCATAATATCCATGATATATCATGTGAAATTATATATACTTATATTTTAATTTCCCCAGCTAATACTATAATTAAATGAACGACCTCATTTAAGGTTTACTGAATGCATGGTCATAAAAATTGGTGAAAAGAACAAAGCATTTGGATGTTAGAATTGCACCAAATAATGGAGAGAAAGGAAAACAAAGATGCAAGCCTCATGTGATACAACTTATTAAGATGAATTGAGGTCCAAGTAATAATCTTAAAGTTGAGTTTTGGATTTTCAACAGCGGACAAACCCGTTGTTTACAGAGGTTTCAACGAGCAGAGGGTCCTTTCTGAGTGCTGGAGTGAATCTGGTATGTTTTCAATTTTCTTCTACTGCTTGGTGTCACCAATGATGAATCAGCTGAATTTTGGACTTGTGTGGTTGAGAGATTTGGGCGTCTGCCTTGTGGAGGATGTTATGCTGGGTTATTTGTTCAAATTGGTCAACGGCTGCTGATGAGACTTTCTTTTTTCAGATAGGAGAGTCATCCTGCTTTTAGCATTTGTGTTCTGTATGCTGGGCAAGCTGATGCCTTGTGAAATGTCAGGACTATGAATTTTTTGTTAGTTGGGAAAGGGCGGTGAGGTGAATGCCTCATGTTGCTGGGAAAAGTAAATGTGTACGTACAGGTTTCCTAGAGTTCCTGGTCTTTAGGTGATGACTTTTGGAGGTGATTATGGCTGTTACTCTCAAATTCAGAGAATAACAGACATGAATCTTCGTGTACTCTTTCTACAGTTGAAGGTTTACTTCCCTCTATTTCAATATATCATTAATTTTTTTTTAAAAAAAAACATGTACGCAAACAGGAGCAAGAGAAAGGCTTATACAAAGACCGTGGATGATGCAATCCAAAACTTAGTGATTCCTGACTCCTAATTCAAAGTACATCCAAAAATTTGCAACGCAACCTACTAAATTAGATAATGAAATCCCAGCCTAGTCCAAGCAATCTTGATGTAGTCAGAGCTAGTTACGGAAGAAATTCCACAATCACACAGAAACAAAAAGACAGGAGGTGCAGAAACTTAAAACCATATCACGAAGGAGAGGACGGAGAAGCACTGTAGTGTTTTGAGTACAGAAAGGACCAATTGCACCCATCTTACGTTTCTCGTATCAGATTCTATCACATAATCATATACAATCAAAATCCAATTTCCCACAACCATAATACCCCATGCATTAACTTACAAGAATTGAAATCAGTACATAGAACAGAACATGAAGAGACGAAATTTTGAAGTTACCAAGAGATAACATACTGGAACTTCTACAGCCTTCTCACTAGCCCATTGCCACTCATCCTCAGAAGTAACAGAGGAGCCTAACTGTCTCAAAACACCTTCAAGAATGATTCGATGTTCCTCAAATACAAATGGTTTTAATAAGATTAAAAACCAGTAGATCTAATACACATTGTATGCTACATCGGTTTTCTAAGAAGCAGAAAGACGGGAAAGCTTGATCTATACAGAAGGTGATCATTACAATACAATACATTAAAAATGGCCTTTTCAAGCTTAACTCCAAAATACATATGACTACAACATCATCAGCCCTCCATGCAGAACCCAAATCAACCCAAAATTATCAGCCCAGCACATAGACAATAAACAGCAAGACATAACTCGACGCTCCTAAGCTTTAAGCATAACAACAAAAAACACCAGAATCCTTCAAAATTGATGGAAATAAAAAGCTTAAACAGAAACTGAGTACATATATTACATTGACCAGTTACAGTTGGAACAGCAACCCCATGTTACAATTTGCATCTAGCTCATCTATCCTATTCTTAAGACAAAGCTAACGGTATCAATTACAAGTATATAAATTATAACAAGAATCAGCCTCAATTTCTGTACAAGACTCCTATAAAGCTCATTAGAAAGCCAACTATGGCCAAATAAACAATGAAAGAGGCCGTTACAAAATTGTGGACCTAATGAACAGATTCAACTTTACAAGACAGAAAATGCTTTACAAGAAGACTATAATGTAAGTAGTGGTTGTGTCTTGAAACATATCACGAAACCACTTCATGAATTCAGTTGGATTTACTTTGTTTCCAGAGGTTACAGTTTCTTAACAGTGCTCAAAAAACAAAAAAAAAGATTTTTTGCACACTTGAAAGGCCAAAGCAAATATCAGAGGAAGCCAATGAAGCCAGCCATTCTAACACATCTTCCTCAACAAAGAGTTGCCCACTCCACTCCCTGGATGTGATGATAAAAAGAAACCCCCATGTCAATAGACATTAAAGAGGAAAAGAAGAAAAAGCCAAAGACACCACCCCAAAGTCTATCCACATAATCACCAACAGTATGTTAGAAAGAACATTACATCACATCATTGTTTAATAGCAAACAAAGCCCAATGCTACTAAGAGCCCTATAGGCATAACACCTGTCTCTAAGAGACAATCAGTTCGGCCAGATGATGAGCACATTGGCATATTCAAGCTCACACTGAATATGAGTATGCAAAACCTCCTTAAAAATGGGGCACTTAGACTGGAAATTATAGCATTCTGGGTAAAATATTGTTTTGAAACTGGCTCTGTTTATGAGGATTGTTTCAAGGTTTCAAAATGTCATACGGTTCAAAACTTCAGAGCAGTATGTCACTAGAGAAAGATTAGGAAACCAACAAATGAAAAGAAAGGAGAAAAGCATGAGAGGAGAAAGAAAAAAAAAAGAGTAGACTCTAGGCAACCCTGCGTTGTTTTAGTACTTTTAACACTATGCCTTTTCAGCTGAACAGTCACAAATATCCATGAGACTGGATTGCAACCTTTATTAAAGAAAATCGAACTCTCCATTAGTCTAAGAAGGACAACCTAGAAGCATGGAAGCCAAGCCTTAGAGAATGGATAATAATCCCGCTCCTCTTTACTGGCACAATATTACTATATATAAAACAAAATGCACATTTAAATCGTAGGATGAAAATTATTTGGCTCTAGAATGGCATACAAGTGTACATGAAGTTCCAAAACTCTAACAAAACCAAAAATACTTTATGAGGGAAAGGTCAACTGAATGACTCGTCATGGGAAACAAGAATTACATACTAGTATAGGGCGTATAGAACAACGAACCAAAAGTCAAGTTTCAAATATTTGACAGAGGTAAAGGAAAACCAAATAATGATTTCGATACTGCATAATGCGTATCACAAGATATTCAGCTACACACATTATTCAAAAATAAAAAAATGATCCTCAGTTGAAAAGCAAGTGGTATGCATATAGAAAAAGAATATGTAAAAAAGCAAGTGAGGAAGAAAGTAATCATAGAATGTCCTGATACAAAACTGAAGCAGCAAGCTAAAAGTAAAAAAAAAAGAAAAGAGATGAACTTCATTTTCGCAATATCATACACATCACCTAGCAATGTCTATAAGCCAAGCAAACTCCCTAAACCCTTCCCACTTCTAAACCCCAGAAAGAAATGAACAAAAAGATCACATGCTAGAAAGATTTCTTATCAACCAAGATCACAATCATATGACAACAAGATTGCTATCACATAAATTCCCAACAATCATATAAACAAAGAAGGTTTTCTCAAGTACCATGATCACAAGCCAAGAAAGCATTGCCTCAAATATAGGGTTTGGCAGATAATTATAAACCCAATGTGGATAGTCAGCTCTGGGATGTTAGGATTCCAACCCCACATTGAGTATCCACATTGAATATGATACTATCTCTTCCAACACACAAATATTAAGTGTCACATCTAATATTTGTTCTTCAGAATGCAGTAAGAAAAGAAAGGGGAATCTGTTCTTCCCCACCAGCGAGCAAGTAGCACTTACTTCTTCCCTTAAGAAGCCACACTCTGCATAAGGACCAACGATCATCATAGCGAATGCTGAAATGAATATAGAACTGAGAGTAAAATCTTAATTAAAGGTCTCATAAGAAACGGTAAAGAAGGATGCACAGCATATTTTGTCATTCTGATGGCAGGCGTCTCCTCTTCCCATAGTCCACATCCCTTGATCGAGACCTGCGCTCTTCTTCTGGCATTGCATGGGACCTTCTCCGAGATCTTGAAGAAGATTGTCCCCTATCCAAGTCATCATCATAATCCAAGTCACGTTCTCGATGCCGATGCTCTCTGTAACTGTCTTTTTCTTCCCTATAGCGGTGTTCTCTATGCTCCCTCTCAGACCTGTCCCAGTCCCGTTCCTTCTCATCACGATGCCTCCTATCAGAGTTGCCTGACCACTCACGCTCAGAAACCCGCTCTTTTTCCCGAGAGGCACCACTCGACCTTCCTTTTTCATGATTTGCATCTCCATATCCATACTCTGAAGCACCATCTTCACCACCATAACTTGACTCTCTAGTCCTGTGACCATGTTCATCCTCCCCACCCACCCATGCTTGTGTCAGTCCACATTCCCACATGAGGTCCATCCATTCCAGATCCGCCCATCATTCCATCCCATTAGGTGCCATTCCACGGCCAAAGAAAGCAGGATTGACATGAGGAGCTACACCAGCAAGTCCCAATGTATTAACAGCTGGAAATGAAGGAAGCATGCCAGGAAAACCAGGCCCTGGAAAACCTCCATAACCGCCTCCTCGACCCATATATGTTGGATCAAACCCAGCTCCCATCATGCCCTGTGGATGCATCATGCCACCAACTGGACCACCAAATGGAGGACCTGCTGTCCTTGTCCATAGGCCGCTCCACCATTAGCACCATTTCCAACTCCAGCAGAGCTCCCAACCATGTTCTTCACACCTACACCTCCCTTCCTCTCATTGGTCCTCCACCCCAGCTCGGTTGACTACTCCTTGACCACCCCGTCCCCAGCCACCCTTCCATAGTTCCTCCCTGCATCCCCACTTTGGTAATTCATATTACCACCTCTCCCCAGACCATCATTTGGCCTCCTGCCTTGAGGCTGTGCTTGAGCCTGGCCCTGGTTTTTGTTCATATAGGAAGCTCCCATCTGCTTCAACGTCTGTGGTGAAGCAAAAGCCACAACACATGCTCTCCCATTGAACATATAACCATCCATTCCCTCTTTGCATGCAGCAGCAGAAGCTGGATCATAAAACTCAACTTGACAATACCCTTTGGATTTACCACTAGCTCTCTCATCAAAGAACTTAATCTCCTTCACCCTTCCATATTGAGATAAAACACTCTCAAGCTCTGCATCAGTTGTCCACCAATGTAGTTCTCCAACAAACAGCATGGTCGGACCATTCTCTATAGGTGGCCGAACCTGATTTTCGCTTATCATAGAATGATTAACATTCATACCCATTTGATTAGGTGGAACATGTGGAGCACCTTGAGGTCCAACAGTACCTGAATTTAGAGATTGAGCAGGGTCATTGGCAATCTTCTGAGGCACACCAGAAGGATCAATCCCAACCTTGTGGGATGCTGAAGTCAATCCTTGAAAACCCATATTTTTCACTTGGGTATCATGGGTCCCCTCCATAACACGGCCCTTCTGTGAAATAGAAGACCCAGATGGATAACTCCCAGATCCCATTTCTGGTCTGCTAACAGCTGGCTGCCCATCCTGCTCAGGATACCGGGCAGTAACATTGAGGTGCTTCCCTTGAACTGAAACTCCTGGAATGTTTAGCCCTTGTGAACCCCCAGCTTCACCTCTCGGTTCAGTAGCCTCATTTTTCTGAGCTTGAAGTCCAGTACTGCCCATACCACCTGGTTGTGGTAGTGCCTCAGATCGTTGCAACTGAAGAAAGCCTTCTCCAACATTAACATCATTATAGAGATCATCATATTCATCATCTTCCCCCATCATCTCTTCATCAGCAAGGGCAGGTATGGCTCCACTTCCTTGATACTGCATCTTTTGTGCCCCTCCATAGTCCTCATCTCCGAAATCTATTTGTTCTTCAGCCATTGCATCCATATAACCTGACTAACACCAAAAGTAAAAAGGTTATTCCTATCTCCACCCATATGAAAATAAAGGCACCACAAAGAAAAAAGCAACTGTAAACCTAGATCAATTATGTCAATAATGCAAGCATTCCAGTGCAGATGTAATGAAAGAAAAAAGTATCCAAACTCCATAAAGGATCATTTTAGGTGAATATGTAAACTAACCAAAGATCTTAAGCATATTGAAAACAAGAAAATCTAAAATAATTGAACTCGAAGCAAAAGAAAAAGGCAGCTCTCAGATGCAAAAAGGCAGAGATCTAGCAGCTATACATCAAAACAAAGGATTAAAATTCCCTTTATAAACATGATAGAAAGGCATCAATACGCAAACTTTACCAACATATTTTATCAAAATAACAGATTCGTGCCCTACCTACTGCCTCAAATCATAGAAACCAAAGCAGAAGTGCGAGGTACATCTAAAACACCCACCTTGATAAATCCAGAGAAAAAACCCAAACACCCAAGTCGTAGAATATCATAAAACAGATAAATTTCGATTACCCAGTTCTTCAGGTCAAAGGAACCAACAATGATAGATAACAAAAAAGGAAAACAATTGCAAAATCAGTAAAGGAAAACGGAAAATTTAAGAAGACCCACCACCAATCAACTTTGGAACATTGCAGAGAAATAGAAACAAAGAAATCCAGAGCTTCGAAATACTAGCAGAAGAACGCAAGACTACAGTGCCCAAGGAAATCAGGATATAAGAGCTATATAATCATTTTATAATTATATTATGGCTAAATGTTTTATCTTACTCCTCTTCTTTGTCTTTGGTTCTTTTGCTTACCCTAGGACAGATCCTTTTTGTCTATCGCTCGACCTTTGTTTTTTCTTTAATTAAATTTTTTATTTGACCAATTTGTAGAAAACTGTTCATGTCATCAGATTATAAAAATAAATTTAAAATTTTTAGAGATTTAAAATTACATATTACTAATATTTTCAAAAACCATATAAAACATAAAAATAATCTCTTTTTTTTTGTTTTTCTCTTAAAACAATAAATATCTTATTACAAGACACACATAGATATTCGACCTAGTTATATAAAATTATGTTATCTTATAATCAAATTTGAAATAAATTTAAATAGTGATTTCACTACCTGTATCGAGTTTGAGTAAAATTCGATATCAACTCTAAATACCCATTACCCAAACTCAATTATTGTTTATAAATATTTTATTATTATTTAAATAATTAAATAAAAATATACAATTTTTATCAATTTTGTAAGCAAATTTTTTTGTTAAAAACTAACAAATATATGAGAACTATGATTACTCAAATTATTAATGTGATGATATTAATATATTTATATTAAAAATTATTTAATTATTAATTATATTTAAATAATATAAATTTTATATCATATTATAAATATGTATATACTTTTAATAAAAATATATTTACTTATTAATTTGTGTTAACATTATAAAAATTATAACTTATAAAATTATTAATTGTAATATATATAACATTATTTATATAAACTTATAATATATATATTTAAAGAGAGCTTTGGATATTTGCATAGTTTTGAAACCTACCTATTTTTTTAAAAAAAATTTCTGTAATTAAGAACAAATTCATATAGTTAATTAAATTAATTCGTGAAACTATAATTATTAATTAATTTATAATGTCTTTTAATATATATAGTTTATATATTGTGTTAATTTATAAGAAATATAATTACTATTATATATATTCTAAAATACTAAATACTTTTAAGATATATATACTTTAAATATAAATATATTTACTTTATATTTTGTATTAACATTACAAAAATTATATTTTATAAAATTATTATTTATAATATAGATACATTTGTTTATATAAACTTATAATTTATAAACCTTAAAAAAGTTATGAGATTAGAATTGTTTTGAAACCTAGTTTTTTTTTTAATTTCATGTAATTAAAGACAAACCCATATAGTTAATTAATTTTTTTTTTATAATTGGGGAAGGGAGGATTCGAATCTTACTTTTTAGGCATGAGATAATGCACCAACAAATAAACTAAATGCTCGGGTGCATATAGTTATAGTTAATTAAATTAATTCATCAAACTATAATTATTAATTAACTTATAATATCTTTTAATATATATACTTTATATATATTAGGCTCATTTATAAAGTGTACATATATATATAGTTTAAATATAAATATATTTACTTTCTATTTTTTATTAACGTTATAAAAATTATAAATTACAAAATTATTAATTATAATATATATACTTTCGTTTATATAAACTTATAATACATAACTCTAAAGATAAGTTGTGAAATTATAATAGTTTTGAAACCTAGTTTTTTTTTAATTTCATATAATTAAGGAAAAACTTATATAGTTAATTAAATTAATTAATGAAACCATGATTATTAATGAACTTGTAATGTCTTTTAATATATGTACTTTATATATATTGGGTTCATTTATAAGAAATATAATTAAGATTATATATATATACATAAATATTTTTAGTATATATACACTTTAAATATAAACATATTTACTTTCTATTTTGTGTCAATATTACGAAAATTATAAAAAAATAAAATTATTAATTATGTTTGAGATATTTATTTTTTATTATTTAAGTTTAAATTTTATTATTTGTATATGTTTATTAATTTAGTTATTAGTGAATTATATGAAATATGTAGGAGAAATATTATTGTACATAGATAAGGGTACGGATTCGAGTTCATGTAATTGGGTACCCATAAAAAGTATTTTGATAATTTTTTTACATAATCGGGTTTTTAAATGGGTTAGGATAATTATAGGGTAATGGGGATGTATTAGGGTTAAAATTAGGGTAGTAATTTTGAAAAATATTTGAGTAGTTAATAGAGTTTGAGTACTTTGTTTTTTATAGCATTAAGATTCGCGTACTTCAAAATTAACAGATACTTTAAAATTAACAAGTACCTTACCTATTGACAGTCTTATTCTCTCTTCAACCCCGTTGAACGTTATTTTCCTCTTCTTCATTTTTTTCTCTCTCTTCAACTCCTTGTCACTTGATCTTCTCCTTTTCTTCCCTTAATTGTAGATTTGAAAAAATTGTGCAACTTCAATTAAAACATCACTTGAGATTTATTGTTAAATGATCAAAAAGTTAAATATTAGTCTGTTATAGTTGAGATTTTTAAAGAGGTGGACCTTAAAGTATAACCGTTATAATTCCTCTAGTGAATGGATGAGTTCATCAAGCTTGACTTAATTCCATGCCACCTCTATCCCAAGGATCTCATCAAATGCATTTTGCACTATCTTCATGAGTTCTTTACTAAAAATTTCTTTGAATACAAAGAAATATTCATATACCATGATAAATTCAATCATTTTAAAACTTAACAATGCATAATTCTTCATTTACATGGTTGCTTCACTAATTTGTTATGATCATGAAATTAGTGGATCTTATATTAATATACTAGCGCGTGACATATGCATCGCGCTCAGGTAAATGGAAAAGATAACTAAAGTAGCTACACGTGCATCCTCTTCTTAATTGAAAGAGGAAAAAGGCTCTTCGTGAGGATGGACAATAGCATTACATGCCTTCGATTATTTGGATGAGTAAGGACTGGGTTGTTTTGAATTATGTTGTTTCCAATCAAGCTCAACGATGTCTTCACCCTACCTTGATTCACCAAATCGAGGCTAAGGTCAATAAACTCATTAAGGTTGGCTTTATTCAAGAAGTCAAGTACCTTGATCTTAAATATTGTTCCAGTTAGAAAGAAGAATAGCTAAATTTGAGTTTGTGTGGATTTTCAAGACTTGAACAATGCTTGTCCAAAGGATGATTTTCCTCACCCTTTGACAGAAATAATGATGGATGTAACAACTAACCATTAAACTTTATTTTTTATGGATGGTTCCTCTAGTTATAACTAGATTCGCATGGATTTAAAGGATGAAAAGCTTAATATATTTTGAACTCCTAAAGGAATATAGTGTTACAAAGTTATGCTTTTTGGGTTAAACAATGTAGGTGCCATTTATCAAAGAACAATGTAGACAATATTCAATTATATGTTCCACAAAAATGTTTAATGTTTTGATGATGATTTAGTGGTTAAGTAAAAAAAGAGAGCTGATCATCTTGAAGATCTTCACTAAGTATTTGAAAGATTGTGTCGATATCAATTAAAGATGAATCGCTTAAAGTGTATTTTTGGAGTATTTTTTGGTAAATTTTTAGAATTCATGGTACGGTATCATAAGATTAAAATTCATCAATGAAAAATAAATGCAATCATAAAGATGCCTAAACTGAGCAATCTCCATGAACTTCAAGGTTTGTAGGGAAGATTAGCTTATATTAGATGGTTCATATCCAACTTAGCTAGTAGATGTCAACTATTTAGTTGTTTGATGCAAAAATATGCGCCTTTTTCTTGGGATGACTCTTGTAGCAATGCTTTTAAAAGCATAAAATCTTATTTATTAAGATTTCTAGTTTTAAATGCTTTTACACCAAGACATCCATTAATCCTTTATATTGCGTCACAAAAGCATTCTTTGGGAGCACTTTTGGCACAACAAAATGACGAATGAAAATGAAGTGTGTTTTACTACCTTAGTAGAACTCTTAATGGTGCGAAATTAAATTATTCTCCCATTGAGAAGACATGTTTGGCATTGATGTTTGTACTAAAGAAATTAAGGCATTATTTGCAAGCTCATTCTATTCACTTAATTTCATGAACAGGTCCTATCAAGTATCTCATGTCAAAATCATTGCTTAGTGGGATTTGGCAAAATGGGCATTTTTGTTACAAAAGTTCAACACCACATATATCCCTCAAAAGGTCATCAAAGAACAAGCACATGTAGATTTTCTTGTAAATCATTCAATTCCAGATGATTGCAAATTCTCCAAAGATCTCCTTTATGAAGATGCTCTTTTCATCAAGATTCCTAAGTCGTGAAAATTATACTTTGATAGAGCAACTTGACAAGATAAGGCAAGTGTAGGAGTTATTTTTATCATTCCAAAATGAAAAGTGTTACCTTATGCATTCATTCTCATCGAAAATTGCTCCAATAATGTAATAGAATACAAAGCCTTGATCATAGGATTGGAGATGGTGGTAGACATGCAAGTCACCCAATTTAAAATGTTTAGAGATTCCAAGATGATTGTAAACCAAATACTTTCACTTTTTGAAGTTAAAAACCTTAAGCTCTTGTCATATGTCAATTATGTTAAGAAGCTTTTGAAGTGGTTTAACAATGTTAGCCTAAAATATGTGCCTAGAAAAAAAAATAAGCAAACAAATTCTTTAGCTAATTTGGCATCAGCAATTGCATCGCCAAGCACAAAAGTAAAAGTTCTTCTTTGCAAGCAATGGATTTTGCCACCTGTCGCTCTGGGTGAAGAAGTCAATGTAGAATCTAATGTTGTCTCAACCTTTGAAGTGGGAAAAGAAGATTGGCAACAACCATTAATTGACTAGCTAAAGCATGGAAAACTTCCTAATGATCCAAGGCACAAAGTAAAAATAAAAAGCTCACTCTAGAATTTATGGGGTGCATCAATCACAAGTGAAACAAATTGTAATCCCAAGTTGAATTATTTTACAATTTAATTGATGACCAGAAAGTTTCTTAAATGCAAAGTATCTTGAAAGTTTCATAAAATTATATTTTTTAAATTTCTTCACAAGTAAAGAAAAGCAATAATAAAGATTGACTTTTTTAATTACTAATTTGAAATGCATTACAATGTGAAAGAAAAT